TATTTTATATATTTAACCTTAAATATAAGGTTTAGCACTTTCTTTTTTAAGTATATCTCTAATACCTTAGGTAAAAATTAGAAGTTTATAGAAATACTATATATAATTATAAGTATTTTAGAAAGTAACTAGCCCTTTAATTATAAGAATAACTAGCCCTTTAATTATAAGAATAACTAGCTCTTTAATTATAAGAATAACTAGCCCTTTAATTATAAGAATAACTAGCCCTTTAATTATAAGAATAACTAGCCCTTTAATTATAAGAATAACTAGCCCTTTAATTATAAGAATAACTAGCTCTTTAATTATAAAAATAACTAGCCCTTTAATTATAAAAATAATAAGTAGGCTAAGTAGTACTATAACCTATAAGTTACTATTAACTTTCTTAAATAATATTCTAATAAGTTTAAAGTTAAGAACTAGTATAAAGTTAATATAAATATCTACTTTACTATTAGGGTAGAATTCTATTACTAACTTACTTTTAAAGTAGGCTGTAATTAATACAGCCTACTAGCTAAGTTAACTAAGGAGAAATAATATATTATACTTTAGCCCTTTTTTAGTACTTAATAAATTAGCAGCTATAAAGTTTACTATAGAGGGCTTAAGTTCTATTATTAAACTACCTTTAAAGTAGGCTATAATTAATATAGCCTACTAGCTAGTTTAATTAAGGAGAAATAATATATTATACTTTAACTCCTTTCTTAACCTTAACAGTCTAGTCTTCTAAGATAAGTAAGAGGAGGTTAAGTTAATTTAGATAAAATATAAAGCTAGAATAGTATAATATTTTAAAGTAATAATATTAGAATCTAATATATAGATAATACTTATTAATTAAAAGTAAGCCTTTAATTAGTATCTTTACTATAAATACTTAGTTATTAAGAAATACAAGAGAACTAGAAACCTAACAGCTACTAATATTATTATATTTAATAATTAATATATAAGAACGTACGTTAACCCTACACTTAAGCTAATATATTATAATTATAGTATATAGAACCTTATATCTACTAAGTTATAGAACTACCTTAATAGTAGTAAGAGTTAAACCTTATACCTACTAAGTTATAGGACTACCTTAATAGTAGTAAGAGTTAGACCTTATACCTACTAAGTTATAGAACTACCTTAATAGTAGTAAGAGTTAAATCTTATACCTACTAAGTTATAGAACTACCTTAATAGTAGTAAAAGTTAGATCTTATAAGACTAAATTAATAAAGTTAAGTAGTTAAATATAATTAGTACCTTATATCTATATAATATTTAGTATATATACCTTTAGTACTAATTATATTTAACTACCTAACCTTATTAATTTATAGCTATTTATATCTTAAGGGTTTTATAAATAAGATAGTTTAAATATACTATTTAGTATTACTTTCCTTATAAGTAGCTTTCTAAAGGTCTTATTTCCTATACTCTTAATAATTTAGATAGATAGAGGGCCTAAAGTTATTCTTACTATAAAGATAGTTTTATTAGAGCCTTATTACTAGAAAGCTAACTTCTGCTAAGTATAAGTATTCTAGTAGTCTTAATTATACTAAGATAGAAGATCTAGTTAGGAGATATTATACTATAGAATATAGTAGTCTTTATAGTAGACTTAGTAGTAATCTTTATAGTACTAATATAAAAGCTATACTTAGAAGTAGTAGGTTTAACTAGAACTAGATATTTATAATATAGAGCTATTACTAGAATAATAACTTAGAGAGCTAGTTACTTCTAAGAGTAGTAGGTTTAACTAGAACTAGATATCTATAATATAGAACTATTACTAGAATAATAACCTAAAGAGCTAGTTACTTCTAGTAGTAGTAGGTTTAACTAGGACTAGATATCTATAATATAGAACTATTACTAGAATAATAACTTAGCTATAGTAGTCTTTAAAGTAAACTTAGCAGTAATCTTTATAGTATTAATATAAGAGCTATACCTAAAAGTAGTAGGTTCTACTACTATATTAGCGTATAAGCTAGTTACTTCTAGAAGTAGTAGGTTTAACTAAAACTAGATATCTATAATATAGAGCTATTACTAAAATAATAACCTAGCTATAGTAGTCTTTAAGGTAGGCTTAGCAGTAATCTTTATAATATTAATATAAGAGCTATACCTAGAAGTAGTAGGTTTTACTGCTATATTAATATATAATTTAGTTATACTAGAAACTAACTTCTACTAAGTATACTAGAACTAGATATCTATAATATAAAGCTATTACTAGAATAATAACCTAGCTATAGTAGTATTTTAATAGAGGAGCTTATAGTACACTCTTATTAACCTAGCTATAGTAGTACTCTAAAAATAGTAATTACTAGCTTTAGCTTAACTATATCCTTAGAGACTACTAGTATATTAAAGCTAGAAACTATTATATTTTACTTTTCTAAAATTTTTTCCTTATATTTAGTCTATTAAATCTTAATTAATACCTACTTTTTATATTTTACTTTCTTCTTAGCTTTTTATCTTATAGCTTAATACCTTTAGAAATCTATTATATATAAAACTTATATAGAAGTTAAGATATAAAACTAAGTTACTTTTTAGTAATACTACTAAATCTATTATTAATATACTAACTATCTATAAGTAACTAAGGTATAAGATACTCTTTAGTAATACTACTAAATCT